TTCTTTCATGTGTTTGGAAGAAGCCCTTTTGCAGGGTGACTCTCTGGGTTCCTCTGGAGTCTGAATCACTGTCAACTCACACCTAAAGCTCAAATCCTCCCATTTTTCCATATGCAAAGACTAGGACGCTACGTACATCGGGGTTTTAAATTTGTGCTGACTGCATATGAAGCATCCTTCACCGCGTAGCATGGCAGCTTCTTTGCGTTGCTAATCTGTCTGAAGTGGCAAGTGTTGTTTCCAATGATGATGTTTGTTGTCATCCTTGACCTCCTCACTATAATACAGCATGACACTCTAACCTTACTAACCTAGTATTGCAATCTGTCCCTTGCCCTTCTTTTTAGTTGAAGGGAGGATATTTTAATACTTAATAAATTTAATAAATATGTGGAATGATGCTTCAATATTGGGTAAAATACTGCATTGAAAAACCAAAGCGATAGTGTTTGATTTGAAGCCCATAGGCTTTGTGTTGTTTACTCAAATGTCACCAGCTGTCAAAATAATTGCACTTTATAAAACAGCACTGCTTTACATTGCTTTGCAATCTTCAGGTGTCTTGCAACCTCAGCACTTGACTCTAGGATTTTGCTTTCATCTCACTCATTGAATCTTTCTATGGTTTAGTTTTCTAATTTTTTTTTTTTCCTTCTGTTAATGTTCTTCTGTACACATCCCCAAAAAGAAGAGGAGGAGAGAAGAAAAACCTGCTCTTTTCCTTAGTTTAGTCCTTTTTGTATTGTTCTGTTAAAGATCAGTCTTGGGGTCTGTAATTTCTTTGGATGCTTTCTAAGATGTTAGGGTAACCTGTCCAACTTTCAATTTTTCTCTTTCTTTGAGGCTTTAATTGGCACAAAACTTCTTTTGATGTGACTGCTATATTTGACTGCGTGTGTTGTCATTCTCCCAGAGATCTTTTTCTTTCATTGGCATCTTATTTTTGTCATCTTTTGTGCACGTTCCAATTTCTTTCTCTAACCTTTAGCAGCTTTGATATTAATCTTTTTAAAATGTGTACGCCTTTATATAATTCTCTGCTTTTTCTTCCCAACTGTCTTTTAAATTTCTTCTCCCCTTTTACTGTTTGTGTAGAAATTTGGTTTGACTTTTAGCTCTTGCCTTCTTCGATGTATGTCATTTGTACCTAGCATTAAGGTATTTAGATGCTGCCTTTTTTTCCTTTTTTTTTTTAGTTTTAAGTAGATTTGGAGTTACCTTTTATTTTGTTATCCTGTTGTTTGATTCTACTCATGTGATTGGCTTTGTGTGGCAGAGCTCGACTGATGTCAAAGGATGCAAAGAGATCTCTCTTCACAGAGTCTATTAAAGGACAGGGTCTTTTTTTGTATGTGTGCCTAATTCTCATTATCAGTAGTTTAACTAGTACTTGCTTCGACTAGCTTTGTCCTGTTGGATTTAGTGACACAGCCTCACTTCCATCAATAATACTAATTCTGCTGCAGTACTTTACCACATGTTGTGTAACTATGGTATTGAACACTGTTGATTTGATCTTTTTCTTTTCGGTG